GGGAGGCGGCTTCAAGTTTTCTCTCTTTTTTCGTTTGGTGGAAACTTGAAATGTCAGGGGTAAAATGATCTAATTTTTTTTAGGTGAATTTGAATAGTAAAAATGGTGACTTCAAAAACTAACATCCTTGTTTTGTTTTATTGGCAGCTGATTGACACCCAATTCGTTAGGCGTACTGTAACCTTTTACCCCGTGACTGTCAGTGACGTTTTGTCGGAGGGAATAAGGTCCTTGAAAATTGAAATTGAACCCCCTCGTTCGGAGTCAAAGATGGCCAAATATCGTCTATCTATACGCAAGTACTTGGCCAAAATAAATTTATTGCATGAAATAAATAGCTAGAATTTCCTCTTTAGGAAATGAGGCGGAGGCCAATTGTATAGACTCAACTTTCCATTTTTCAGTCTGCTACTCTACACAACTCAGCCGACATGAATGCTTCTTCAACGGAGGATGAAAGTGAGAATCAATAAACACTTCATAAGTTGTTGAGAAAAAATCCCACATTTCAACTCAAAAATGGAAAGAATGAGGAAATTTTCCCAAGTATGAGAGTTTCTATAATCTTATGGACAAAAAATCGATAAAGTTTCATATTGCTTATTATAAACAAAACACTTAGGTAACAGTGTTAATGGACGTCAATCGTTGTTGGACGTTTTCCAACAGTGTTAATTATTTCCTAAAAAAACACTTAGATAATGGACGTCAATCGTTGTTGGACATTTTCCAACAATATTAATTATTTCCTAAAAAAAACACTTAGGTAACAGGACTAACAGTGTTTAATTTTGTTGACTTTGCCCAACATATAGTTGTTAATCTTAATTGAACATTAATTGTCTAACATAGTCGCCATTTTTTAGCACAAGAAGTGGTAACGCCTTTTCAACTTTATGTGCTCTATGTAACATCTACTTAATTCTTATCTATATATGACACGATCAATAGTAATTAAATTATGAAAAGGCATTCTTATACGTGTACACATTCAAAATATCCTATATTTGGATATGCATTTAAGAAAAAGAAAATATACTTGTATAATAGTACAACATTACTTGTGATATTTGAATCTTGAACTTCATGTGATTCCTCACTTCGTTATTGCAACTCTCGTATAATTTCTAGTGGAGAAGCTATTAGACTGTAAATTTGTAATCACTCGCGCGCGATTATTTCAAATGCATTTTATGTTACACATATCGTATTTCATTGATGAAAAACTTTAATAATATTGTGTTTTAACTATGATTACCCCTAATAACAAATAATGCAAAGTTTGCTAAAAGTTAAGAAGATGTATTATTGTTTAAAACGCTAAAATAGTTTTTAAAATTAAAATGTAACTCTCGAAAAATATGTTGTTTTTCTTGCCACTCGGTGTCAGTGTGGCATGTATGATTGTTGATCATCCAGTCAAGTGGGAGAGTAGTAGTCAACAATTTGAGCAGCCCGTCGTTGTTGACTTAAGAAAAGTTGAAACTGATTGATGGCATTTTTGCCATTTTGCGGGCGTTGGACGGCGTTGAAAAATATTCCACTCATTTATTTGTCGCGCAATCGGGTGTTGTTACTAGCATTTTCCTTTTTATGTATATCCTTCGAATATATTTTTAATACTTGAGCATATGTAACGATATTTAAAAGTAGCCCTATAGAATTAATTAATAAAAAAATATTATAATTATTAATTTGTGCACTACTTTTTCCATCCCATTATAACCATTATACTTTAAAAATGATTTTCATTTTAGGCACATGATATATTAAATGGAAAGTATATTTTGTTTAACGAAAAGTACTTTTTACGTCCGACGAAAATGTTTTATTTTAAATACACATTGTTCTTCCACTAAATTGATTCATCTTCATCTTCGAGTAAGAAGATATCGTTTCAGCGCAAAGTAATCATTTCTACTATCGCCGAATCACGTGTCTATGGCTTTACCAGCAATTTATCATTGTATGTCTTTAAACATTATTCATATTTTTTTTATATTTTATAATTACGAGTATTAAGGATAATTTAGCAAAAAAACTTCTACGTAAATGATAAAACTCATATCCATTTTCTCACAAAAAGAGTTCTGTAGTTACAAACAGAATTAGGTCAAGGCACTAATCAAGGCTACAACTTATTTGAGATGAAGAAAATTTATATGCTCTATCTGTAAACTTAAATTTCAAGACAGAAAGAATATTGTACCTATATTTGTTGGCATTTTAAGTTAAGTTATTTCAAAAGATAATATTAATTAATTGCTTTATATCTTATTAAGTGAATAGAAATCTGGTTTATCAAATGTATTAACTTGAATGCTTCAATTTTTTATTTTTTTTTTAAGGAGGTAAAGCTTTTCAGCAAACTATAGCAATTTATCAAAGCTTTTAATGTCATAAGGATAGATTTCTTCGTTAATTGAAGTTGTAACATCCAGTGAGAAGCTTTGTGAATATATCCTACACTATAAGTAGAAATCATGAGGAGTTCATTTGACATCCCATTCAAAACTCAAACACTTTTCTTCAAGCAAATTTTTTTATTTCTTGAAATAACCCTCACAGAGCAAATTTTCTTTGAGTCTTTCTCTTTGCAAATAGTTTTCAAATATTGTATCTATATACTTGTTAGTTCCTGTGCCCTCTAAACTTAAAAGAGAAAAGCTTGTTTTATCTTAGAGAAAAAATTCGTTATACCAAAATGGTTTTTTTAAGACAGTACAATTTTGCGACTCAAGTATTTTATTTATATAGCATTTTTTGGAGCATTTCCCCAACAATATTTTCCCCACTCCAACCAATCCCATGACCATACACATGATAAAATTAGATTTTCAATTGATGTACGTATTTAGAAATTTTCATGAAAATCTCCGTCTTAACATTTTGAGAGGCAACTGCTAGCTGGTCTAAATCAGCTTTGCACCGTGCACACCAATGCCAAGTTTACAACCTATCAATCAACAATTAATTATACTACTTGTTTAAGGATTACATATAGAGATTTATATGCAGTTTTTAATTAGTATCGTCAAATAATAATCTTATTACCAGCAAATACAAAATGACAAACTTTGTCGGCCAGAGGAAACAGCTAGCTATCTCTATTCCAAATAGAGAATAGAGATCCATAATTGGCATTTCTTTTTCCATTTTCCCTTTCGCTCTCTAGCTTCCTTTTAAGGGATGCATAATGAGACAAAAGAATTGCTGGAAATTACTCATAACTCGCCGAATTGCTGGGAATTATAAGAATATTATTGGTATTAATTCCTTGCTATATGTAGTAGCCCATGAGGAACCAACTTGGCTCTACCAAGTTGGCCATGGATTTTGCGAAGTCAATTTTTTTTTATAATGAGATTTTTAAAGAATTGTGTGATGCAAATAATCAAGAAATTGGAATCAATCATAGTTCTTATAAAGTAACTAGTACATTTTAAAACATAATTATATGGCACTCATTTTTAATCCCCGTCGAGCATTTTTATTTAGTTATTTTTTTAATTCACTAAAATTGTGGCATCGAGCAATTGCAATAAATAGTCAATTTGTATCGTACTATTATCGTGCAATTGAATTCATAACAGATGCTAACAAATGTGCCTTACGCAAAGTGATCAGATAAAATCATAAAATCATACTAAGTGTGGGAACAAATCCAAGCTACGAGATTGTCACTACTCACTTGGTCCAAACAAATTAATGTGTTATAGGTATGACTTCTTAGTCAAAGATGTCCGTCTTAGGGGAAAGAATAACAGTTTCAATTTGGCCAAACACCTCTCTCAGCCAAACAAGACGATATCTTACTTGATACATACAAATTGAGTCAAGAAAATTACAGTAGTCAGTGATCACAATAAAAAAGTTAATCAAATTGCATAATAATGTGTTACTATGAAAATCCATATGGTGCAACCATGTACATTTGTGGAAAAATGTATTATTCCCTCTATCCCAAAATTATTATCTTGTTTGATATTTCACTTTAATACAATTTGAACTAAAAATGAAAACCCAAATTGTACAATAATTATGGGACGTAAGGAGTAAGTATTAACGGGATAGAGATAAACACATACACAAGAACTAAATAACAGTACAGCAAAGTGAAAATTACAACTGCAGTGTGGAACGTTTGTTTTTCCGATAAGAACTTGCCCAAATCTGAATTAGCCCAGACAACATTTTCGAAAACCGAATTTGCAATAAACTCACCCCAAAAAAAAAATAATAATAAAAAAAAATGTAAGACTAGCAGGAAGTTGCCGATATGCCCATGTCCTATGTGACTTTCAAAAACAAATGAAAGACTTCAATTCACCTCATAATTTGTGGATAGATGCATACAATTTTTCATTCATGAGATTGACCCCATACCATATTGATTTTGCCACTTGTGATTTTATGTGAACTGGACGCAATATGAAAGGAAGACTAGTTGACCTTATTTTTTCCACTCTACTCTACCATATGTGAGACCAAGTGTATAAAACTATTTTATTTATTTTTGCATTTTTTTATATTTATTTTTTGAATTACTATCACCAAAAATTAAACTCTCAATCTTGCAATCATAACTCTTTTTATAGTTAATTCTACGATTAAAAAAAAAAACTTACTTCCTACTAAGTAATAACAAACAGTAAACAATTATTGTCCATACTGAATTACAATACGGATTTTAAATTTTAATGAGAATTATTTTTCAGGAACAGATGAGTTTATTAAGAATAATTTACTTCTTGAAAAGGAATTTACTCAATTTAAATTCGAATTAGTCTAAATTCGGATGTCCACTATTGCAACCAAAAAAAAAAAAACACAATAAAATGTAGACCAAGGGTAATGAAGAAGGATAGATAATTAGCCAACTTGGTTGGCTCAAGAGCTCCTCTATATAATAGCTTACTCCTCCTCATTTGGCCAACTACTTGGTAGTATCCACATTCCATACTACCCCCCATTTCACTTCTCATCTACCCAACCTTAATCCCCGCCCGCCCCGCCCCCCACACACACACACACAAGTATAATATCACAAAATCACACCGAGCTAAGAAATGGCCGTTCAGGAACCTCTAAATGACGGTTTCTCCGGCCAAGCTCCCAAAGTCATAGAAGATTTTGATCCTCCACAGAAACCAAAAAGAAACAAGTATGCCTTGGCTTGCTCCTTCCTTGCATCTATGACTTCTATCTTGCTCGGTTATGGTACGTTACATTAGACTAGAGAATTTCTTTTTGCCCGATTCCAAAATTACTTGGTAGTCATTAACAAATACTTATACATAAATTGTAATTAAGTTTTTTTGTTCATGCAGATATTGGAGTAATGAGCGGAGCCATAATATTTATTAAACCACAGTTCGGCATAAGTGAGGTCCAAGTTGAAATACTTGTTGGCATCCTTAACCTGTATTCACTTCTGGGATCCGCCGCCGCTGGCCGGACATCGGATTGGATAGGCCGCCGGCTGACCATAGTCTTTGCGTCCACCATCTTCTTCGCCGGCGCACTCCTGATGGGCTTCGCCACCAACTACGCATTCCTAATGGTGGGAAGGTTCGTCGCCGGCATCGGAGTTGGGTATGCCCTCATGATAGCTCCGGTCTATACCGCCGAGGTGTCTCCGGCATCATCTCGTGGATTCCTCACTTCTTTCCCTGAAGTCTTCATCAACTTCGGTCCGTTCACTTTTCCTTGCATTTTGCGTAGTAGTTTCATAACCTCATAAAAACCATCATAACTGAAGAAAACAAACAGATTTGTGGGGATGAAAACAACACTAAAAAGTTACTAACACCATATAAATTTCTCTATTTTTATCCGGCATGATTAATTGGTTAATTTTGTGTTGTGAAAAAAATGTGACATCACATCGTGAGACAACTTCACATTCAAGTTGTAGTAGTACGATACAGACAAGTAACACGTTACCTTTTTTGATTAGCCATGGAAAATGTTTTGTTCGTATTATAAAACATTTTTGCCACCTCAAAAATTTCAAAGTTGAAAGTTACTACATTTTATGAAGCCATGTGGCTGTTCATGAATCATAATTGTCCAATTATTTTTTTAATTTTTTTTTTTTTTTGTAAAAATCCAATTTGCATAATACACATATTGGACCCATACATAGTTAGGTACAACATCTTTGGAAGTTAAGTCACAGCCAATCCAATAGTTTGACGCGAGCTAGAGAATTGAATTATTATAGGACAATTTGTCCTGTGAATACTTTTAAACGAGGGATTTTTTTTTCTTTCTTTTTCTTAGGTATACTGCTGGGATATTGCTCAAATTATGGATTTTCCAAGCTGCCAGCTCACTTGGGGTGGCGTTTTATGCTCGGAATCGGAGCCATTCCGTCGGTTTTCCTGGCCCTCGGAGTTCTGGCCATGCCGGAATCCCCCCGTTGGCTAGTCATGCAGGGTCGACTCGGCGACGCCAAGCATGTTCTCGACAAGACTTCCGATTCACTCGAGGAATCCCGGCTGAGATTAGCCGACATTAAGGAAGCCGCCGGAATCCCGGAAGATTGCAACGACGAGATCGTCACCGTCTCGAAGAAACACCACGGCGAGGGGGTCTGGCGAGACTTGCTGATCCGGCCGACCCGACCCGTACTCCACATCTTAATCACGGCGATAGGGATCCACTTCTTCCAGCAAGCCAGCGGGATCGACGCCGTCGTTTTGTACAGCCCGAGGATCTTCTCCAAGGCCGGAATCACCAGCCACGACCAGCAGATCCTCGCATCCATGGCCGTCGGATTGGTCAAAACCGTGTTCATCCTGGTCGCCACCTTCTTCCTCGATAAAATCGGCCGCCGGAAACTCCTCCTCTCCAGCGTCGCCGGGATGATTGCGTCGTTGGTGCTTCTGGGCACGGCTCTAACAATCATAGATCAGCATCCAGACCACAAGATCAAGTGGGCCATCGTGTGGTCCATACTGATGGTGCTGGCCTACGTGGCGTTTTTCTCCATCGGGATGGGGCCCATCACCTGGGTCTACAGCTCGGAGATATTTCCGTTGAGGCTCCGGGCACAGGGATGCAGTATGGGGGTGGCCACGAACCGGGTCGTCAGCGGGGTGGTGTCAATGACGTTTATATCCCTCTACAACGGCATCACCATCGGCGGGGCTTTCTTCTTGTACGCCGGAATTGCGACGGTGGCGTTCGTGTTCTTCTTCACGCTGATGCCGGAAACTCGGGGTAGGACACTGGAGAATATGGAGCAATTGTTCGGGACTTTCTTCGACTGGAGGACCAGGTTGAGGGAATTGGAGAAGGACCAGGCGTTGAAAAGTCAAACCGAACTGCAACCACAACCAAGACTTGAAAATCAACATTAGTTAGCTACTAGTTTACTTAGGTTTTATTACTACCACAATAATAATTAAAACGACCAAAAAAAAAAAAAAAAGAAAAGAAAAAAAGAGGAAGAAATGGTATAATGCTAGTAGTACTTAATTTGGTTGCTGCTGCTAGCATTATCCAAGAATCATCTAAAATGTGTCAATATTTCGATTGCAACGCTATGAATCACTAAGTCATGGAGTGGCTTTGAATTTCAATCATGCATCAAGCCAATGAAGTCATATAATCCATAATGAAATCAGTTCAAATTTATATCGTATAATTAGGTCGGGAGGAAGGATTGGGTATTTTGGAAGATCGTTACGTGATTGTCGATGGATTGAACACATGAAAAAGGTGTAGGCAAAATTGCAATTTGTATGTTACAAAACATTCCTAACTAATTTGATGTGCTTTACGTCAGAATCTGAGTGTTAGTTTAGGACTAAAACCATGTTCAAAACATGACACTAAAACCTTCAAAACGTAACGTACCATGCTAGGCAGTTGTGCTTAAATACTTATACACACACAGTACATGCCAATGACCTTCGCAATATTGGAATTTGTAAGGAGTAGAAGCAGCAAATGTTAACCAAGCAAAGTCAGAAAGAACTTTGGAAAAGTGTAAGAACCCGTTTATTTATCTTTTTTTGAATAATGAAAATCCCAAAGGTTTGGTTACAAAAGCATCCCTACAAGATAGGGATGAACCTAATACATTAATATCCACAATTTGGGACAGAAGAGTTGACAAAGTTTGTCTTCCAAAAGGGTATGGGTGCCGCCACCAGAAGTGCTTATTAGTCTGGAGTCTGGACTCCGAAGCATGAACTATGAAGTAGATTTGAGAAGTTGAAAATGTAGAAGAAAATTTCCATTTCTGTTTCAGGCTATAAAGTTGTAAGGCTAAACAGAATTAGAAGTCCAACCCAAATCAAGAGCCCAATATTGGAGCTCTTTCAGGTTATAAACATTAGAACCAGTTCTATTTCTCCTTAGTTTAGGAACCCATAACGAAAAATTAATGTAGGTAGGTAGCAACTGTGAATCTGTGACCAATTTTCCCGTTTCGCAAAATAAATCACTTGATCTACAGATTTAAAAATAAGTTTAAATTTTGTTTAAAAAACACTTGATCTCCAAAATTAATTTTTTACCCCAATTAGTGTCAGGTACCCGGATCCCAATCCTTTTGTGGAATATTTATTACTACTCAATGAAAATAGGATTGTTTTTTTACCTCCTCCCCACGAAATTATTATTCAATTTGAATTTTAAGTTTTAATTTAAATTGTACTAAAAATAAAAATACAGATTAGACAGAGAGTATTAAATTTCCATGTACACCAATTCATACTCCACTTTTGAGAGTTGCCTATTCCTTTCCAAATTTTTTTCATGATCTCCATTCGTGCACCTAATATATATTCTAAACGCTTTTGTTATATTATCTATGTCTCGAAATGATTATCCGGTTTAAATTTTTATTGTTAGTACAAATTATATTAAAAGTGAAAATTCAAATTGGACAATTATTTTAGGATATAAAGAGTATAATTCTTTCTTCCCATAATAATAGTAATAATCACTTTTTGTTTTCCTTGCGTGAGTGTCAATCAATCAACGTTTGAGCCAACAAAAATCAATATGTTTACATACATGAGAATGAGTAGAGCTTGTAGAATAAAGTGCTTTTTTTTTTTTGGGGGTGGAAAATAAAGATGCAAGGGACCTAGCTAAAAACCAAACTGATGTTGCGTGCATGTGTTTGAACTAGTTTGAGGTAGTTTTCTTGCGAGTCAACTTTGGAAAGAGACGTAAGGTTAATTATTGTGCAATCAATCACATGTATTGCCGCATAAAAACGAAACTCGATTGATTACGCCACAAAAATCCACCCCATTAATTTTGTTTCCTGCCCAAAAAAGCACCAAGATAATTCCGCCCCTTAGCATACTAATCAAGAAAACCGGTCTATAGTAAGTAACTGGGACAACAAACAAAAAAATGTGGTCTATCCTACGCTGCATAGGGAACATTTTCTTATTAGCACTATAAATCGTCGCGGGGATAACTTTTTTTTTTAGCAAATGCACATCAGTATTTTTTAGCAAATGCACATCAGTAATTATGTTTATCCTTTCAAAACATTGATTTTCGGTAATGTTTTTGTATATAATTCAGTATAACAATTTAATTTTTTAAGAAAATTTAGTTAAAACCCTAAACAAATAATTGATGGAGTGACAGAATTCCACAGCTTGCTCCTAGTGAAAATAAAAATAAAAATAAAAATGTTTGATACAAACAAGTTGCCTGTGCGCCATTTTGTTCTTATAACAAATAATAAACTTTTATAATGAGGAGTTAGTTCAGTGTTAAAACTAACCTTACTACAAAAGGAGGTCATGAGTTCAATCCCCCACTTTAACAAAAAGTGAGGGGTTGACTCTCACCTTGTCTATTGGCACCTCTAAGGGCTTGTTGTTACTAACCCATTAATGAACTTACTGTGGCTTATTATTGCTAACCCACTAATAAACTTACTGTGGTTTGCATGCTATTGCAGTGAGTGTGGGTTTACCTATCTGGTGGGGATCCCGGCGTTACAAAAAAAGAAAAACAAAATTACACCATATTTTTTATATTTACAATTCAATAGCTCCAGCGCCATCAATAAATTTTATTCTTATTCTTATTATTTTTTGTTTCTATGTATATATATACCAGGTGTTAGACCCGTCCGATGAATAAGGAAGACCTATACATATAGACATTACAACACAAGCGAAGCAAAAAATATTAATATTTTATTTATAGATTTTATAGAATGTATAATGATTTCATTGAAAAAAATAAATCACAAACATCAACAACACTTTGCCATATGAATATATACATTGATAATTTATGTAACGCAAAGAGGATTATTAAGAAATCCAAAAAAAAAAAAGAATATAAAAAAATAAAAAATAATGAACTTTGATTTGAAAGGTTAAATATCATGCAATACTGGTTTGTAGACTACATACATAGTTCTTGAATTGACATCACTAATATTTTAATCACATATCAGGATCTTTATTCCTTGTCTCAAAATAACTCTTATTTTCAGTACAATTCTTTTGCTCTTTTCTTTTTCACATACGATGCATTCTCACCTTATTTCATTTTTTATTTTTCACCCCGTTTGTTCGTTTGATTTAATTGTTTCTCATTATCTATCTAATAATTTATTTTTACTTTAACTTACTCATTGTCAGAAATATTTTATTTTTGAGGATAGGAGTGCCTTTTTACTCGTTAAAGTCAACTATTTTTATTCCATTAATATCTTTTTGGACATTTCTCTAGTGTCGAGCCATCCTGCTCATTTTTTTCCTAATTAAAGTTTGATTTTTTAAATAAAAATTCAAAATTTGGTCCTATAATTGTTTTAGCAATACCTTCATCAAGATGACCTCTTAGCCACACTAAGAGGTAAATGGTTCCTTGACAAATGCTCTTTTCTCTATCTAAGGGTTAAATAGCATTTGCGCTTAATCTGATATTAATAGTGAAATAGATAGGAAATTAGATTAGCTTAGCTAATTATAAGTTTCCTTCTAGGGGAAAAAAGGGGTGTCATGGGGTTCATGTTAAACCTTTGTAAGACACTTTCTTAGTTTATTTTCTTTTATACTTTCAAAAAATGAGATCCTATGGGATTTTTGATAAATCTTTATAAGGCATCGTCTTAGTTATAAAACATAGAGCTGTCGTGAGATTTTAGTAACTCTTTGTACGATAGATTCTCTTTTTTTGGGTAAGTCTTAAGCACTGCCTGTGTAATTTTTTTTTATTATCAATAAAATCGGGGGATGCCCGCCAAGTACCGTCCTGGTTCACCTAAAAAAAACAGCAATTATTTTATTTTGTTTAGTAATATTGCAATCATTATTTAATTACTTTTGTCTTAATCCTATATCAATTTTCTCACATTTAGTTTAACTTATGAAAGAGATGGTTGTTTAGTATCCAAGCCAACCGGCTGATTAGCATAAGGGTTTCAAACTCATCTTATAAAAATTAAATGAATCCAACTATATTTTGCACATTTTATTGAAATGATAATATCTTTAATTTGAAAAAAGAATTTTATCCATTGAACTTTTTTTATAACAACATAAATTTTATAATATTATGGAAGGTTCGTATATAAACAATTGGAAACTTTAGATAAATATTAAGGTGGCCCAACGTTCCACTACTATAAATGAGAATTTTAAATTTCTACTCTCGGTGAAGTAAAATCTAACATTGCACTTTTTCAGCATTTTATTTCTCAAATTATTTATTGCTGGTGCTATACACAACTTTTTTTCAAAAAAGTTTTATACACAATTAGTTAGAAAGTAAATTCTATAAAAAATTATAATTACAATGATTTTTTTTTAAAAATAACTTTTTCAAGGCCCACCATGGAGAAGTTGTATATTTATGGAGTACCACCTTATTTGCTTCTCTAGGCAAATGAAGAAGTTTCAATTCTATTGTGATAGTTCTCGGATTCTACCTTCTTATCCTAAGTGAGCATTCGGTTATTCCCCTCATGTTTTCACCAGATTCACTACAATCTTGTCAACTTCAGGGATTACTTTTCCTTCTCCCAAATGTCATACCGTCAAATACCCTTCATACAATCTCATAGCTCCTTATCATTAGTTGATGTGCCCTCTATATTTATAGTTCCTCTACATGTGATTAAATAATATTACCTGATTTGGAAATACCTGCAATTAAATCACATGTGATTCAATTAAAAAAATATATTGTGATATAAGTGATTGAAATTTAAAGTAGAAACTAGTTTTAATCATGTTTGAAGAATCAAAATGTGTATATTCTATACGTAAGCATTAAATCTAAGTGACTTTTCAAAATTTCAGTGCCGATTTTCAAAATATCAACTGTTCATCTCTCAAAACGACCAATAGGCACACGAGAAAATTTCTTTCATGCACCCAATTCACAAAAAATAGATCTTTTCGCAACTTTTAATCATGCATAATTCAAATAGTTGTACTACCCTATCATCTTTTAACACTATCGCATGATTTTCACGAACAATAAATTGCAATTTGTTATATTGAAATTTTTATTTAGAAAAAGATCATACTTTATTATTCCTAGAATATACTTACAAACTTGTTTTTGGGAATGGTTTTTCTGATTGTAAAGATGTCATGCGACTCCGTTATCCTGTGGTGAAGAATCTTTAATCATGAATCAAATAAGAAATTTAAACATCACGACTTTAAATTAAGATAATAAAACTATTTACAAACGTGCAAAGTATTCAAGTGATAGAAAAATATAATCAGAACTTGAAACATGTACATGGACTCAATAAGAATTCTTGGCAGCTTAAAGTAAAAAAACTCTCGGTTTCTCTACTTGCAACCCTGCGCCTTAAATTACTTTACTTTTTTAAAAAAAAATAAAAAAAAATACATGAAATTGCTCCACATAAATAATAATGTTACCTAGTTTCTATCGGCAGAGATCCAAGAAGGAATGAGATGAGAAAAATTTATGACAAGCGTTCAACTATCTATTAGAGATCTCAGTGATTCAAGTGATTTTATAGAATCAGAATTTTAACCAAATTTCAATTTTGATTCTCTGTTAATAGAATGATTTGTTTGCTCCTATAATATGACTGTCAAATTTTATTTATAGTTTAATTCAAACTTTTCATCATTTATTTTAATTGTTTTAATTGCTCGTGTACATTGATATTTGTTATTATCTCTCCCTATATTATCTCTAGTTGTCAATTCTGCCAAGCATCGAGACAGACAATCAGTAAATTAAAGATAATTCAAACACAATGAATAACAAATCATTGGCTAGTTTATTTTTGATACCAGATAATTTGAAAATTCTGGTCGGCTAGGTTTTTTTTTTTTATCTTTTTTTTAGTACATATTTTGATGGGCTCTATGGGTTTTCAAACAAAAAAAAATCGTAATTTTTTTTATTTGATGGTTTGGATTATGGACGTTTCGGTCGTTTTATGGAGTGTAGTTTTGATTTTTCTCTTTTTTCAAATGGAATTATTTTTCTAGAGCAAAATTGAATTTCTAAATTAAACTATGTTTCTTTTTGTGTGACGGGAGGGACTATATTTTTAGTTATTTTCCTTTTATTTATTTATTTAATTAAATGATTTTTATTTTTTCAATTTATTATAATCAATTCGCCTAAATTCTGAAGTACGCAAAGATTTATGATTGAAAATGTATTGTGTTACTATCTTTCTCCGCTTAATAATATTTATTTAACTTGTATCATGGATTCTCAAATTTTTTATATGGATATGATACCAATTCTAAAACTTTTTAATATGAATAAGTTACATTTTTAACTAACTGTACAATTATTGTGCATTTTCCATTCAATCATTTATTTCTTCTTAATTATAGCCATTTTAAAATTTTCTTATTTTCAAATGCACTAAACACCAAGTGCCTAGAATAATTTTCTGCAATGATGGGAATTTTTCTTCCCCCCTCATAAAATACTTTTGCAACTTTCACTTCTCAAAAGAAAAAAAAAATGGAAAGAACCGAGAAAGGCTCTTCATGAGAAGGTACTCCACCTCTTCTAGAAAGTTTGGCAGCAATGTACATTTAACAGGAGAGTTCTCTCCTCCGCAGGTCGGTTGAAAATAATTCCTATTAGGCAGAAGATGTTGATCTTTATTAGAAATATTTTCTCATTCTGCGCGCACCTGAGCTCACCTCGATGAAGATTGAGTAATTCCAGATATCATACTAAATGATCAAAGTTTGAATGCTTCAAGAATCGAGTAAAGCCCCTATAAGTGTTATCTCCAAGCAACTCTGACAGGGATAAGTCAAAAGCCAAATCAAGTTTGAATATATCAGACAAAGACTCCACTGATGTGTAAGTTAAAACCGACCCAGGGCAGAATATGTTGGAAAAGAAATATCCGAGAAGTAATTAAGATGCTCATTGCGGTAATACTTCAGCGGCTTCATTGAAAACAAATGTATTTTTTAAGAGCTAAAGTTCAAAATAAGGGAGATTTATGTCTTACCTTCACATTGCATATAGGGGGTTCTATAAGCAGATTCTCTGCAATTAAACTCTAGAGGAAGTGCTCAGAGCAAAATTAGGAGCAAAAATTAAGGAGTTTCACAGTTTGCACACATTCAAATTGTAAATGGTTCGTATGGAGAACTTGGAAAGTACCTCGACGACCGCGTCTCGTGGAAGCTCAACTGCCGACACCCTCTGGTTCTTCTTCGCCTTCTCCTTTTCAATCTGTTTGAGGAAATTTTCGATGAGTATAAATTTTTCAAAAAATTTAAAATGATGATGAGAAGATTTTAAATAAATGTAAATCTTCTCATAGAACACCATGGTCTCCGCGCGAGACACCTGATTGAATAAATTTAAACCTTCTTAGTATTAATCACATGATAATTAATCTTGGATGTAGATCATAGAAGAAATAGCTGCATCTCACATAATCATATTTTTTTTGCGTCAAAAAACTTTATACATTGATATGAGATAGGAACATACCCGTTCGAGGTTAGTTGTGTAGGAGCAATCATAAATAAGATTGTTTTCCGTGGTTGGCTATATCTTTAATTTAAAATAAGATTTGGGTTTAACCCCTAAAAAAAAAGATTTGAGAAAAATATGCTATTATTCTCAATAATCTGTATATCTAACTCTAAAAATCTACTATATCTTTTAAATACAAATTTACTTTTTGTTAATTTCTTGTTAAGATCTGATTTCCAAGATCACGTTTGAAGATTTGTAGGGAATTTGATAAATATAATATGCCACAAAAATTTTCTAAAGAGAAAAATATCTTTTAGGATTAAATCTTATATGTCATAGGGAAATTAGTTTAGACTTTCTCTCTCTGGTTTTTTCTTTAGTATAATATATATATATTTCCTAGAGACTTGATTGTAACGATTTAACATGTATTTATAAAGCTTCGAATTCCCCCTATTCTCATGATTCTGGCATGTAAGATTTGTCAAAGATAATTTACCTCTAATATTAATATATGGTTCTAGGTATATTAATTATAATACGAGAGCGGAATTTACCCCGTAACACTTTTAAGTTGGGCGTGAAGTATTATTAACTTCAGGCTCACTTGAAGTGGGGTTGAAGAGCAAATTGCCGAGCTATACAATTATGTGCTATGTCTAGGTTTATGCTTTGAACTAATTCCAGCTGTCTCCCAGGTTTGTTGCCGGGAAGTCTGTTATTTTTTCTGTAAAAATATTGTACATACCATACAACATTTATTTAAGTTTATTAATTATCTTTTCTGTCTTACAAAAATAATTTACATTATATATAACTTGTAATCTATAAAAAATAATAGAATTAATAATTGCAACGTTGGACTGCTTTTCTGGGATGGTCGGGGAGAACTTTCTCATTTTCCCCTTTTGATATAAAAATATCATTTTATTCATGGAGTGCTGAAATAGCTTTTGCTATAAATAAGTGGTCTCTGGCCTCATCACCCACCCCCAATTCTTCAACCAAGATACCCTCCAATTTCCTACAAATCTCAAGCTAGAAAAGAATACATTTTTGTGATCATGATCGGGGGAGATGACATATACAAAGTGGTGACTTCCATGTTGCCACTTTACACCGCAATCCTCTTAGGTTACGCCTCCGTGAAATGGTGGCATATGTTCAAGCCAGCAGATTGCGACGCCATAAACCGCTTCAATTGCTATTTCGTCATGCCATTCTTCACCTTCCATTTCATCTCCACCGTGAATCCTTACAGTATGAACTACCGCTTCTTTGCCGCGGATGTCATGGCTAAAGTGCTGATCGGTTTGGTTGTTGTTTTGTGGGCTAACCTGAGCAAGAGAGGGAGCTTTTCTTGTTCCATTACTACTTTCTCTTTGTCTAGTTTGAACAACACGCTCGTCGTTGGGGTGCCATTGTTGGAAGCCATGTATGGAGATGAAGGAAGAGACCTTGTTATACAATCATCGGTCATTCAATCGCTTTTGTGGTTTATTTGTTTGTTGTTTATGTTGGAAATGAGCCATGCCAAAGCGATGGATATTGAAGATATTGAGATGGGAAGAAAAGATGACAATGCTAATACTATCCTGACTACGGCCACCACCACGACCAGATCTCTCTCATCTTGTGGTGCAATGAAAATTGTTTTGGTAAAGCTTGCTTTGAACCCTAACACATATGCCTGTGTTCTTGGTCTTCTTTGGGCTCTTCTTGCCAAAAGGTACACTGACTTTGTTTCATAATTAAATCGGATTGTGATAATACTTGTTACATTTTTCACCAAAAAAAAGAAGAAGATGAAAATGGTCTCCTTGTTTCTATATATAGGTGGCATTTTGGGATGCCGAAAATTATTGAGGGATCAATTTCGATAATGTCGAAAGGAGGAGCTGGTTTGGCTATGTTTAGTATGGGTAAGAGTTGCCATCAAAAATCATTTCTACAATTAAATTATTACAGTTTCATTCGACAAACAAGATTTTTTGCATGTATAGGATCGGGCATAGAAATGAAATCTCTTTTTCCAGCGAACTAATTAATCACATCAACATTTTTTATTTATTTATTATTATTATTATTATTATTTTTTTTGTGCGTGTTTGGATTCAACAAAAGGGCTATTCATGGCATTGCAAGAAAAAATCATAGCTTGTGGAGTGGGATTAACTTTGTACGCCATGGTTTTGAGGTTTGTGGTTGGACCAGTAACAACGGCTGTTGGTGCTTTTGCCATGGGTTTGCATGGTGATGTCTTGCGCATTGTAGTGATTCAGGTAAACGTAAATCAGTTGGACTCTTTGTTACTTATGACAATTTGTACCTTTTGAATTTTTTTAATTAAAAGAAACTAATAACTTTTCACTACTAAATACCAAAAAGTACACAAGTATTACACAAACCTCATCTTCGTCCATTCATCCTGATTCGGATCCTTTGTCCGTTTGTACTTTGCACTAATTGCATGCCACCGTATTTCCATGAATGTCATTAACCTATGCTTAAGCAAGAAAAAGGTTGGTCTAAACTAGCTTTCTACCAATGGTTTATGTAATTTAAGTCCATTCAAGTTTCTCCCAATGGTTTGTTTCTATACCAATCAATTATGATAAAGAAAATAATCCCTATCAAATGTAAATTAGCTTTTCTCTGTAATTCAAAATATAACTATCAGTTGGTCAATATTAAATCTGTATTGCTTGCATCATCCTAAAAATTCTGTTTGAATATCAATTAGTTTTAGTTTTGTGCGTTGCTCGAATTTTATTAAATTTGACTTATAATTTTATAGCTCTCGCGTGAATAAAGTGTTATAGGTCGCAAAATATTAGTAATCAATTCGGATTGTAATCTCGGGACTATAATCAATTCAAAAATAAAGTATTCAATTTTATAAAAATTTAATTTGTCCTAAACTTTAAAATTAAAAACTTAAAATATAAACAGTAAATTATATTACTCAACCTAAGTTTGAAAATATAAATTATTTCAAATCTTAAAAAAAAAGTTCCAAACAGAACTACATACAGTGGTAGTAGAATTTTATGTTATTTCTATTATACTTTTCTCTTTTTGTTTTCATTTTTTAGAGTAAATTTAATTGTTTACATCCATAATGTATTTATATAATTGTAACAACTATTTTTATGAGGAACCTTTTACAACTTTTACTCAACACGAAAAAAGCACGTAGAGGAAAACAAAAGTTCAAATTCATGTGATTTTTTTTAGATAAAATGTCTACAATTAATTTTTTTTTTAATTGGAAATTTGGATGGTCAGAAATCATTTAGATAACACTTCCATAAAAAATTTCTGCACGGATTTTGCATTGTGATATTGATGGTTTAAAATGTTTACATCATTTAGATTATAGATTCAATCAGAAAGTTGGATGGTTAAATCATTTTAAATATAGTTTCATCAAAATTTTCTGCACGAATTATGTATTAATGGTATATATTATTTTGATTATAACTTAGTTGATTTTACAAAATAAATTTCTTATACAGATTCCTATCACATGTAATTATGTTTACGTACAAAATTTTAAAAATCAATATTAGTAATTATTAAAATTTCGGATGAAAATCTTAGATTTTTTTTTTAACTTATTTACCATTTTATTTTAAGAGTTTTCACGAAAACACGTGCCACTCCTAAACTATCACATTTAATATATAAAAAATGAATTTTGGTATGACAACCATAACTCTTAATTTGAGACAGAAGGAAGAAAAACTAAACAATTATGTTACCTTCCCGCATATTTAATTTGTTTTGCACAATTAATAACCCAAATTGTCCTAATAAATATCACATTAGTCTAATTATTAATGTTTCTTCTAGGCAGCGCTGCCACAAGCCCTAGCCTCATTTGTTTACGCCCAAGAATATGGATTGCATGCTCAAGTGCTCAGCACCGCGTAAGTCATTTGTTTGATCTCTTCAAATCAGTCACTAAATTTTTTAATTTTTATTTCCCTAGTTATTAATAATAATTACTGATACTGATGGTGTACAATTGCATTTCAGGGTTATTTTCGGCACAGTGGTATCTCTGCCTTTGCTAGTAGGGTATTATGCTCTTCTGGACATCTTGGGTTGATGAAATGCGAGGTCGAAATATTTGGTCAGCTGGTGCATATAGTTGAGCTAATTATGCATCCGTCCTCGCCGCAAACTTTTTCTATCAATTCGAGCTGGTTTATTTTCTCAAAATAATAACGCATAATAATATGTGGCTACCTATACTGTAGAGAAGTGATGAGTTACTACTCCACTTGATTTTTTACAAAATGAACAAATTAGTGCAGATAACCCTAGTGTAACATGAAGATTTTCATCCTCTCCAGAAAGCAAAACAGAATTAACTTATATTAACAAGGTGGAATACACACCAACGTGATTAGTTACACTGACGCCCTTCTTAACATACATACAACCCTCACTACAATCTCGCAATCCTCTTCCACGCAAAAAAAAATTCACCTATATGAATTAGCAACAGTTCCAGCAAAATTACCGTGGTCAAGCCGCACATTTTGTGCTAACGCATATCTTAAATTATGTTACCTCTCTATACCCTGCTGCAAATACTGTATCAAATCATAACCTGCAGTGCTCCACTTGTTGTAAGCGTCTGTACAAGTCCGTATCATAAAATTGGCTGCCTCACGCTCACTCATCTCTGGGTGAAATCGTTTTCTAAGGTTTCCGATAGGATCACCCCTGCTGAAGCAAGGCAATCCGCTGTCTAGCATGAGTGCTACCGTACTCAAAATTCCATCCATATAACGCCGAGCAGCAAGGTAACCCTTGACACACAGCCTGAGAAAAGTCCCATGAATTCCCATTCAGAAAGTTTCAAAACTAAAGAATCGCTTTACAGGTTTCAAATAGTCTTGTGTTTTACCTCACAAACAGGAACCAAGTGTCGCTTTTCATTGTGCCAGATGGGTCAATCAATTGAGTCATCTCATGACTCAGCTTAAAATGGGCACTTTCGAATCGCATATTTCCTCCAGGTGAAGTTTCCAAGATAAAACCAAAATCGATGTGAACAAGTCTGCCCACACTGCATCAACAAAAAATTTGATTTAGCACATATTAGATAGCTAACTTATCAGGGCCATCCATCCAAAACAAGCCAGTACAATTCTAAAGGTACTTTTGTGTCATATGCCAGACAACTCAATCTGGTTGGGATGTAGTAAATTAATGTTCAAGAAGCCTAGTAAATAAAATGGAACTTGAACAACTTAATGGAGCAGCAAAATAAATCATCAAACCAAATAGAATAGTGTAAATGATTCATTGAAATCTTAGATATCACCGGGCTTACTATATTAAATCAAAATCGGCAAGCAGTATCAAAGAACAAAGGGCTGCTTACTTGTCAAAAAGAAGATTTCCATTATGTCTATCCTTTGGTTGAAGCAGCAAGCTGGCTACAGCATAACCAGCACTGCTAATAATGAAGTTCTCACGAGCGGCTTCAAAACTGGGAGAACCAACAGGTCCAAAGTCCTGCTGGAATATCTCATATAAACCACCATCAGTAGTCTCACCCATCTGACTTCTGCTCCGGGTGTTGGGCACGACCTGCATGACCCAGAAAAGTACAACATCAAGACAATAGATCACATATATAACATGAATATTCAGTAACACGTGGTTTGGTACTGTGTAATAATATAAACGGGCAACTACAACTGTCGGAATAATAATTCTTCGAATTCGCAATCTAAAATCCAAATTCTTATACACCAAGATTACTTATCGAAGGGGTTAAATCTGCCATACTGTGCAGGCCATCAACTATAACACTAACCATCAATAACTATTCTGGCATTTAAAGGTAGTCGCTAGATCTTATAACATATTGAAAAAAGTACAAATCAAACGTGCATGGAATGCAATTCTAAAGCTACAATACAAAGAAAGAGAACACAATATAGGTGCTTTAAGAAAAACTTTTAGTAGGTACAAAGACTTGCACCGTGTCAGGAGCAAACAACTGATTTCTAAGTTGGAGGAAGCTACGCTTGATTGGAATGTTGAGTGCACTGCACATAAATAGATGGGAAAGAATGATTCCAAGTCCAAAAGCATAAACCCAGATATGGCTCCAGTTCCCATGTAGCGTATGATAGGGTTCGATGTAATAGTCTAGGTATCAACGTTTCATTGTCATAAAGAGGTAACTTCTTTGGGAAAAAAATAATAATAAAAAATGCTAACATCCAGAAGAAGGCAAAACTTAGAAGCCTGGATTAGCCACAAAGCAAAGAGGCATAGTTAACAAGTACAAACATCACATAATAAATGAGAAAAACATATCTGAACTTTTGATACCTGTACTTGTATATTGATAAGTACAATCGGGGAAAATCAGTAGACAGTAATTCACCTCGATAATTCCTCTCTCTGGACCGGTAGGAAGAACGCCATAAGGAAACAAATATAGATTAAGCCCAACTGTCTCAAAGATATCTTTTAAAAGTGAAATGACTTGTAGAGCAAGAACATCTTGGCGACAGTCATCTCCAACCTACAAACAAGAAAAATGCTGCTTCTCAGGTACCAAAAGAAAGTTTGTGCAGAAGAATAACTTAATAAGAAGAAAGCAAACATCATGGGTAGATTCACATTATAAAAAGAAGAGGAGAAATGAAGACGTATCAGACATACAAAGCCTCTAGCAAATAGAGAAAATAACAGAAGGAAGCATCGTGTGTAGCAATCTAAGATAAATTGGTCTTTAAGGAAACCTTCATTGAAACTTTCAACTCAAAGCTTCTAAAACAGAAATTTAAGTTCACAGTGAAAATACTCCAACTTATAGGTAACAGCTTTTGTTTTGACTGTATAAACAGATGGTAACAACAGTAGTACCTTGAATATGCAAGCTTGTGGCTTTACATCTTTGGGGTCCCCATCTCGGTCTACCACATTGAAGGTAATCATTATAGGTACTTTTGCAGCTGACTGCAAAGGAATTCCACTATCAACGCGAATGCCCCTCACAAGTTTATTTGTAGCAGTAGGAAGATACAGATCATCCCCTTCCATTTGAATTTTTTCCAGCTCCCTGTTTAAACATCAAAATGTTATAGTATTTAACTTTCGGTATACAATAGTGAAACTTCAACCAATGAAATTTCGCTTTCACTAAAGCATCCAGAAGAAAACAAAGATATACCTTCTTATACCAGCTCGTCGCTCCTCTTTTGGAAGTGGATATAAAACACCAGAGATAGATGTGACTTTGTCAAAGAAATCGAACTCCCTTTTGAATAAGTCAAGAGCCTTGGGAGTGAAACCATTAATAATTCGTTCTCTAACGAGCGGCAGAAGTGCTTGGAACGAATTATTCTGAAGACATGATAAAAGACATAGAATAAGTATAAACTATCGAAGGTTCAAATAAGGAAAGTTTCAAAACGGTGCAATACGTTAATATGAACACACAAGCATTTGCAGGTCTATTAGTAAATCAACAAAAAAACCTGAAATGGTGATCCTTGTTTCGGAGAATGCACTCAGATAAAAAAAGATGGCTAAGAGAGTTATAATAACCACCGCTAAGCATAAAAACCTCTTTTCCTTTATTGAGAAATTCTACCGAGTTCAATAAACAAAAGTCAACAGTGATACTAAAAAGGCAAAGCATAAACCATTAGCAGGCGGAATTTTAATACAATATGTTTAAAGCATGGAGATCACATGACAGCCAAATGATTGTATTTTTCAATAATTGGTGACGGACTGGCATCATGATTCAATCTGCAAGCTGCAATTTTGCTATATGGCAAATCGCTCATCCACAACACAGAAATTACCATCTGTATCCTTTTTTTCTTTTTTATTTTTCCCCTTTCCTTTGCTTTAGAGGCCTAAACAAGTTGAGAAACAGAAAATAAATTCTTCCATTTCCATTTCATTGATTCTTTTGCCATTTACCTTTGCAAGATATGGCTTTGGACAGGAGAAAATTCAGATGTATGAGCATTTCCGTGTATGAAATTAGAGCATCAGGATTGCCATACAAAAGGATTGATGACTTCGTATTGTCTAATGTTTAAACACTGTTTAGCCTCCTTCTCAAGCAGTGAAGTACATCTCTATTATCAATAATGTCCACAGATGCTTTTACATCCTCCAACCAGTTTTAACCAAAGCCCTTCTATTAGTTTGCATCGATTGTAGCTTAATGCAAAACTAAACTCAGAATTGCATGATATTTTGAGGTATAACCAACTAATCAAGAAATAAAAAACATGTTAACTGACTAGGCAAAAAGAAATTCTTTTCATAGAAATTGACAGGCCGAAGTTGCCTAAGACAAAAGGAATAAATACAAAATGCAACATCTGCTTAATGCACCATATTTAATTTTTGAAATGAAAGAAGAAAAATAAAGATAAATATACCTTTGCAGACACTGCTTCTTTATCTTTTCCTGACTCTGGCACACAAGTCTCACCCTGTAAAGTTTTTAGCACAATAACAATCACATAACCATATTTCAAAATTCAGCACAAAATTTGTTGGTGGAATTTTTATTTATAGTTTTTCCTTTGTCCTACCTGCAAATGCCATATCAGAATATGTGCAAATATATCGCTTCTCTGAGCCGCTCTAAGCAGATATCCTTCTACTAGCCTCTGCAAGATAAAGATGGCCAACAAAACAATTAGCAGTCTTCAATGTTACAGTAATAACGTGGTAGATCAAAAAGTGGCAATCAGTATACATTTGAATCGAAGAACATTTAAGAGAATGCTCATTTATAGAAGTCCTAAAGATACTAAGTCTTTAATTTTGGTCGCGCAGGTGCCAACCTCTTGGTGTTGTTATGCTTTCCTTTTGTAAATTCAAGGAGCCATCAATGAGATGAAATCGATATTATATTGCTCATGGCCATTGGAGAAAATTTTTAACTATTTGTACATCATGGGCAAAAAACCTACCCCTTCGTCGTATCGTAAAGACTGCACCAATTGAGGCATGAAGAAAGTTACTCTCTCGGGAGGATAAGACTCCAGCACCCTTAGAACATAAGCCATAACACGTGGATGGCCCTTGTAAGCTGGAGTAAGAAACTCTAAAGCCTGTGTTATTGAACAAGCTGCCCAATGTGGTAGCTGCTGCAAAAGGTGTGAATTCTCATCCACCGCTTTTGGGGTAACAAAATAAGGCAAAGCCTGAGGAATACTACGGATCTCCAATATATGGTTCTGCATAAGAAAATAAAGGTTACAATGAAAAACCAGTCCTACTTATAATTGCACAGCTGATAGAATGTTTGATCCACAGGGATATACTATTGGAATATAAGTCATAATCGTTGGACTCTTTTAACAAAGATAAACATACTTCACTTGAAATCAAATTGAATGCAAAAACATACTTGAACAAGGACAGACACTTCAGATTTCAGAACAGCATTAGCAGGAAATCTAGCAGCCATAGACAAAGCAATTCGAGGATCGACAGAGAAAGCAGTCCTTGCATGTTCAATCCACTTTTCAGAGCTAACTTTCAAACGAGAGGTACTTTCCCTGAAAGTTACGCACAGTCACATGTAATGAGTATCAAAAATTCAAAATTCCACAAAGAAACTGAACCAAAACGTAGGAAGTTAATGCTGCAAGCATATTTACTTAGAGCCAACAGGTTGTGCCCAAACATCAAGTCTCTCAGCCTCATGATGGCAAAGCATCAAAAGCAACTGCTTTCTCTTCTCCCTTCCAACTGCATAATTCTCCATTTGGCCCCAGACAGGATGATAATCTTCTTTCTGTAACCAAAATCTTAAAGAGTATTAGGCACCTTAAGGAGCCACAGGATATGGAACATCAAAATTACTAAACATGAGAACATTAGCACAATCAAGCTACTAATACATTCAAACCAAATAGGAATTCAAAAGCATATTATCATACCACATCATGCAAAGAATTTCCATTTTCTGGTGTTGATCCTTTAGAGTCCATCTGGGAAGCATCTGTCCGCTCATTCAAAAGATGCTGTACAAATAGGGAAACAGATTGAGCCTCGCTTTGGGAAAAGCTGTTATTTACATCATACCACTCTGGTTCGTGAGCAAACCACCCTAGGGAAGCCCTGCATTTCCAGAATTAACAAACGTTCAAAATTTTCTGAATATAGATAGAAGCTGCTATATCAAGCATGAGAGCAGCAGGTCGTTACCGGTAAATCCTGTCTTCAAGCAGCTGAAGACCTGCTCTGAAGTTGTGAAGATTCCGCTGTAAATGGCATGCACAGAACTTCAACCCGAGAAGCATGAGAGTGAAAAAGGTTCCAGCAGCAGCTGGATGGCGTGAAAAGTTCCAAGGAAGTTTGGTCGTTCCTTGCAACATACGACCAAGTAGCAAAAGCTGCTCCACACTATCGTGTCGAACAACCTACAGATGCAGAGCATATTAGGAAAATGAAAACATTGCATTAACCAATCTAATACAACTAGATACTGGCAACGAAATGAAGCTGCAGAATAACAGAAAACTTAACACAAAAAAATTAAACCCTGTTCACCAACCAACTCAAAGGCTTCTTAAGGAAACTAATATGATATAAGTAACGGCTACCTACTTAATCAAAATTCAAGCAAGTTCTAAGAATATTAAATTTGAGTAACAGGGAAGCACAAATCAGCCATGACTCGGTACAAACAACTCAACAGCTTTTCAACCGAGAACTTTTGCCACACATCCAAAGCTTTTGACTCAATGAACGAAACACTCACGTCTCCCATTCCTAGGCTAGCAGTGAGCTAAAGTCAACCTCAAGAAAATTTTAGTCTCAACAACGCTTGAATCATGCATGGCAAGATTCAACACAACTCCTGCTGACACTGGCCGAATCTAACCAAAGAGATACACTAACCCAAAATTCAGAAATCATCGAGCAAAAGACAACAAAAATCAGTCTCCAAGATTAACAGCCTAAAACTTTCAAAGAATCAGGTGGCATAGTATACATGGAAGCAACAGAAGCTGTATATTTGACGCCTCACAAGAAAGGGGCACTATGAAGTGTCAATTCCACACAAGATTCGTTCGTTTAATCACCTTAACAACCGGCAATTCTTACATGCTAAACACCCATCATGTTAAAACTAAACAAAACGAAGGTTCTTTTGTGGAACCTACCTCAAAACGATCAATAAAGTATCCAAGCCATAGCCTATGTGCCATAATTTGTTCAACGGGGTCATTTTCAGGCGGCAACTCTGGTTCCCCAGGAGAAAGATGAGGCCTAAGCTTTGCAGCGGGTCCAGCGTACCTTGTTTCTGAAGCGAAAAGGCCCCGCTTGGTATCAATCGTCCACAACCATGCATCAACCAGTTCTGAAAGGACAAGAGAACCCAGCTGAGGTGCAGCCGAAACTAACCATGTCCAAACAAAAACTCCAGTTTCCATAGCATCGGGTGTGGATATGTAAGCCGGGCACCAGCAAAGAAGGCGAAGAAGTTGGGAAAAGCTTTCTATATTTGATTTCAAACCTGAGTCCTGAAAAACTAGAATTCTGTCATATAACATAACCAAAATGCAATGATGTCTGTAATGATCAATAGGGCAATTAAAAGAGGACAGTTGTCTGACCAGATTTGAAAGAAGTAATGCAGTAGCTTGAGAGCAGGTTTCCCGGAACGATGATTTGTCCACTTCCCCACCTTTCTCAGATGTGTTAACAAACTGTTGAAGCAGACGTACAAACTTGGTGAGCAATACTTCATTGAAGGAGTCATTTTTTGGATTTGAATTCTGCAATGGAGTCCCAGGATTTGGGGCAAGGGGATCACGATTAGATATTGATGTCGGCATAGAGTCAAGCCCACCAATGCTCTCGTATATCCTTCTCATGCCAGCAATTTCACCAGTATGATTACATTTTACTGTTGCACTAACTATACCCGTACTCAGCACCTCCAAGTTGAATGCCTCCGTCAGCTTTAAGTTACCACCAGATGCTGCAGCAGCCGCTGCCATGACAGCAGGAATGTTTGCAGTTTTTGTTCCATTCCAACAGTCATTTTTACCAGTGCCAATCCGTATTTCAGACAACAGAGAAACAACATCAGCAGTGGGCTGCGTTCTTTGCCAATTGTTTGCTTTAGAAATTTTCTCCTGCAGTTTAAAGAAACCAAATGTTTCTAAATTATGAATCTTATCAGGGCAGCATAATCAGAAGAGAATATGTGTTATTAACCAAAAGGAAAGAAAGAATAATGTAGTACAAGGAAGTCTGCACTAGAGGTTCAGGAGAAATATAATCTACTAGCTATTTAAATTTCTTTCTCAAGAGGGAGGGGGGAGTGGGAGGAAAAAAATAAACAAATTACACCAAAAGATATAAATGTGAACAAGGCAAGTAATCTATCTGCCTAGAAAGCCAGTTAAATCCATACAACCATGATGAGAAAGAAAGCAACCAAAAATCTGAACTCGGGAACATTTATAGCCTTCAAATAAATAAATGAGTAGACAAGAACAATTGCACTACCCAGTAAATAGAATCAAAGAGCAAAGAATTATAGTATGAAACAAGCAAACAACTATCTAGCTTCTGAGTGTGACAAAACAATTATATAAATAAGAAATTTAAAGGGAAAAACCTGAAGGAGGCCCTGACTCGTGCATGGAGCATAAGAAAGGGACATAATTATCCACTCCCGAACAATCTTTTGGTACAGAGAACGAACAGTAGCCACCCAGGCGGGGTCATGAACAACAGCTGAGGGTGGATCATTATGTATGGAGAAAAGCAGTGAATCCAAACAAGACGAATTCCACAACATCTGCAGCAGGTAAAATAGGTTCGAGTAATATCTTAGTAAGTAAAGCAAATAAACAAATGTACAACAAAAAGCTAAACTCAAATACCAATAAATTTCACCTGAGGAAACTTATCTCGAAGTTGACTAAGTAAATTTACAGAGATGTCACGAATTTGCTCATCTCTCTGAGACAAACTTTTAATAAGAAAGCAAGCATGGATCGAAAGTGCGGACTCTCTTAGTTCAGCATCATGTCCAGTTTCTGATGCCAGATTATTCTACAAAGAGAGATACCACAACAAGAGAAGAAAAATCACCGCCCTTAATGATTTCTGCTTTTAGTTTGTTCCCAGAACAAGCAATGAATTAAGGAGGAATAAAAGTTATGAAATTGACTAATGGCTGCTAAAGGAAGGCGAGGCCATAAACAGAAGGAATACCAGCCAAAATAATGCAGTTTCAAAGGCCTGATGAACTATTGCTGTCAAGCACTGTGAGACCGCTGGCATAAGATCTGGACTTTTCAAATACTCAAAGACACAGCTGAAGGCACTGCGAGAAGCAGACAAGGTGGGGCTACCATTAAGAATGCCACCATTGCTGCTGAACCTGATTATTTCCAGAAATGCAACAGCTAGAAGATATGTTGCCTTGACACCTGTGCATAACAAAGAGAAACCTCAAAAATCATATTTCATTTTGTTTCTCAAAATATACTACCATCTAATCTAATAACCACACACAGTTAGATAGCAAGACGTAAATGCTTATTTATAATTCTAAGCAGGTAAGCAAACCTGAGATGGTTGCGTTCACCTCTACCCGCCCTCCTAAAGCAGCAGAAAGAGCAGATCGTTGGCTTACAGCAGCTTTCTCATTGCCACTACCTCGTCGACTACCAGGATTATGAAGAGCATTCAGTTCAAACTCATCTTCAAGCCATTTCACAGAGCTGACCACCTGTGCAGAAGATATGCTCATCAGCCTCTTTTTTCACACAAAAACATCAACTGGAAATCGTTTAAGCCTCAATTAAGATGTACACAATTATACTATGAGAAAGACTCTAGATCACATAACAACGTCTCTCAGGCGAATGAACTTTTCGTAGTCAATTTTAATCAAAACTCCTTGTGTTTCTCCGTTTGGTCCCAAAGTAAGAAATATGGACTATTTTTGTGTTTCATAATAAACTACAAAATACTCCTTTCAACTGAAATGATCCGTCATCTCTTCGAAACATGGCAGCTTCTAAGAAAACATTTTTCAAATGGCATTATGAGAAAGCATTTAGGAGGTAATCATTTCCAGATACTGAAAAGTTGCACATGAGAACATGTAAGGGCTAGAGAGAGTAACATTTAAACATCTCTATGGAGCTGTTTAAAACCCTAGAAAGTAAGTGCTTTTGTTCAGTTAAGTACACATTAAGACTTCAAAGGGTTTAGCAAACGTAACAAACATAAAAATAGAAAAGTACTAAATTATAGAAAATGTGAACATACTAGGGGGGGAGTCCCTTGGGAAATTTGCTGAACAGCCGAAGACCAATTAGCATTCCACATGTATGGTCCACCAACAGCTTGGAGTGCAACTGTCCCCATGCTACCAACACTATTAAGAGAAGTAGACACTGACTTTGTCACCACTGCCTGAGTCTTCTGAATAGGAGGTGCTAAACCGAAAAGAGCAATATAGAACCACAGATTCCGAAATAACTTCAACAACGAGGGTTCCACATCCACAGTAGGATCAAAATCAGAGCATATTTCAGCCACTGCAGGAAGCAGGGGTCCTAAAAAATCTGCTCCACTCCTGCAAATGTTAAACACACTCAAAAAGGTAACCGCAATGAAAACATAAGTTTCAATAACTATCTCAGAGTTCTTACCGCCCACTTTTAGACTCAGCAGCTAACCCAACATCTGAACACAAAGACAGCAAACGATGACGGAAATCGGATCGCAATTTGGCAGCAGTAAGACCCCTTGCAATCAGAAGAAATCCTGAAGGAAGAGTCTAGAATGTGATTGAACCAGTGAGCACAGCATTTAAGGTAAGGAAACATCGCTTTAACACTGATGCCATAAGTAGGTTCTAACATCAAAGGGCAACATACCTCCAGACGCTCTGTCGTGGCTTCCTGAGGCAAAGTGTTGCTCTCTGCAGAGCCTATAGCGGAGAGCTTACTCAAGTAGCTTCTAGTCATTAGAACAACTGCTTCACGGTAAGACTTCTCAAAACCTAAACTTGCCAGGCGAGAGATGGCATCAAGAAGCTGCATTAACTCGAAAAAGAAAAAAAAAGGTTGAGAATTATGGAGTAGCTAAACTCAAAAATAGTTGAAAAAAGCACCGTGAGTTGGCAGAAAAGGTTTACCCGAAGCCTTAGTAAACCAGGAATTGAAGCTTCACCCTCTTCAAGGCTTTCGATAAAGAGCGGCAATATCATGTCAACCACTTCGGACTTATTAACATAGACATTCAAATCAGCCAGCAAGCTAATCATGTTAAGCTGCAGCGGAGAAGCTGCTTGCTTTTCTTTTCCATCCTGCAAACGTTCAAGCTAGAAGTTTTAGCATGGCACAAAAATTATACACAGCATATGTCAATCAGGAGAGATACCAACTAATCATGCCTTAAAATCCCAAAACACCTAGAAGCCTACCTGAATATCAATCACGAAACAATATGCAGAATAATTGGAATGATAACTCTACATTCTCTGCGTGAACTAAAACCCTGAAATAGCAACTTTAAATCCACTTCAGTGGCTCGATACCAGAGTCAGATAAAGGCTTCTTGTTGTGGTCATTGTTCAAATCCACTTCAGACACGACGAAATGATTTTGAACTATCATGTTATCTAGTTTCCCTCCAAATTTCTCATCCCACAAAGGCAAATTTTTATTGCACATTTGCTAAGTTTCCAATTTCTGACAATCCACATTGTGCAAAACACAACGTAATGTTTACCTTGAACACTCATTATTCAAATTAGCACATAGGATCTTCAGTCGGCACTAAAACAAAAAAGCAAATTGCATGAATCTGGAGACTAAAACAACAATAGTAACAGGCTTTAAGTCTCACCATGTGGGGTTGGCTTAATCAATCATATGCCACCATCGGGCTCAATCAACACACAAGTTTTCATTTAAATTTAAATTAATCATGTCAATTTTAATAGTTTACTTCTAAGTCTTTCTAGGTCTTCCCCTTCCCCTTTGATTTTGAGTTAGTGATTCAATAGTAACTACTAGTCTAACCAAGGCATCTAAAAGTCTCCCACGTAAATGCCCTAATTTTATCATCAAATGATGCTACTAGCACTTTCTTCCTAATGCATCATTATCTAATCCTGTCCAATCAGTTTATGGCAATGCCTAGGAGAACACTTTTGCGAAACTTTTAGCGATAATTCCACCATTAAAAAACATTTTAAGTCGGAGTAAAGCATAAGAATAACAGATCAACAAATAATTGCAAAAGGAACTTCATACCTCCTCTTCCTTGTCATTTCGGTCACGAATACTTGTGGTTAAACCCATAATAAATGTGTCCACTGGCGACCGGTCCTTGGTCCATCCAAGTTGAATGAGCTCACAAGTTGTTTTCAAGATACTCTGAAACATTGCCCCTTTGTTGCTGCCCCAGGTATCAGCCTGTTAAAACATAGAATTGTGAACACAAGTATTTTCACCTAGAAAATGTGAAAAGAAGGTACTTGACCACCAAAAAAACTACAGAAGCCAACCTGAACACAAGTCACTTGTACAAGCCTTTTGAAACGAATAAGCAGGACTCGCAACAGCTGGCCACCCCGTAAAGTGGCACCCTGGGAAATTCCAGCAAGTAAAGAGGCAAATAGATCCTCGCATATTCTCAACTTACGCCACAATGATCTTAAACATGCCTCGGCAGCCTCTGTCAGCAATGCAAGAGCTTCGTGCAACAACCTCTTTGATGACTTTCCATCAAGATCAAGAGATGCTAGAGTCTTGATCTGTAACGTAGCTGCGGCTTGGTAAACAGATAACTTGGTATTGATTCTAGCTCTCAGTAACTGTCCATGCTCAGACCAGGCACTCCTCCTCATCTGTGCGTGAAAGACATAACAAAACCATTTTAACCGATAGCATCAGCAACTTCTCCTCAAATAATAAAATACTAACACAAAATAAACCAGAATTCGTCAATCACAAACTATACCTTCAGGAAATGAATCATTGACTGAAGTTGATTCCTTGCTACGAGTCTCACTTGTTCCAAGAGCTTGGCATCAACTGTGGCTTTATCCAACACGTGGCTTATCAATTTAAAGGCAATTTCATGCTTCTCAAGGCCCTCCATAGACTCTTCCTCGAAAGATATACCGGTTCCCTTGCATCCTACATCATTTAATCCCAAACTTATACTTGAGAAATCCCCATTGCTCCTCCACCCTCCACTACCCCCATTTGCCACAATCTCCTTTGATGATGACACACTAGTAGCATCGTCGGCTGCCCTCGAGGCCCCGCTAATGGTTGATCCAGAGGTATTACTCACCTCATTTACTGGACTGGCACTGTCATTGGACTGATAATGAATTTGGTTCAGCGGTGAACTCTGGCTGGAAGCAGCTTCTGATGGAGTTAACTCCCTAGGTGAATTGGGTACGATGGTTATTTCCACCCGTTCTAGAAGACAAGACACTAATTTATTGGCGTCATTAGAAACAATTGGCGGAAAGTTCAAGGCCACTGCGTTCAAGAAAATCCTGGAGACACACATATCTCCAGTCCCATTGGCTAAAGCAGACATCACAATGTCTCCAGTGAATCCTGCAACGTCCGTGGCAAAATCAGAAGCTAATTCCGCAGCTTTACACACGTACATTAAGTAATCATTGAAGAATGCCGCAATTGCCTCATTTGAAAACGACTGTGGCCAGAAAGAAGCGTTGAAGGAGGAAGGAATTGCACGATAGAAGGCAATGACAAGGGACTTAGGGCGTTGATCGTCATGGTTAGGGCATTTAGAGAGAAACCGAACTACGGCGAGCACAGCATTCAGCTGGGATCTCGAAACCCTAGGAGATCCGGTGAGGAGAGACTCCGCGGAAGGGCACCGGCCGCAAATCCACACCAACTTATCGGCGAATTGCGCAGGGCTTTGAGCAATTAAATCGCATAGCTCAATCAACGCTTCCATTTTTAAAATTTCTGAAACAACAAAAACATTGATAAAAGAATCACACGAAAGCAAGCTCTAACAGAGGTTCGCAAAATCAAATTTTCGCTATCGTGATCGAACGCCAGGATGTTGTGTGAAAAGTTTCGGAGAAATTACCTTCAGTTTTTTTCTGGCCGGAATTTTACAAATAAGCCATGAGGTACGAAAACAACAACGGCAAAGTAAATGTAGCTTTCCGTAAAAATTTGCGACAGCGGAGCTCGATATCAAGCCTGTTTAGGTGGAAATGTGGATTACCAAAAGAAGAACCTAAATTAAAAATACAAATAAAGAAAATATCGAAATGAGGAGAAACATACGCCGATTAGGGTTTACAGCGGTGAAATTTAGGGGAATCGGAGGAGGAGGAAGGGAGAAGATCGGTGCCGGCGGAGAAAGTGGAGGTGTTTCAGGCGATGAACATCCAAAATGGCAGGCAGGCCGAAGGCAACTGTCAAAGTCTCGCGCCTCTCTCGATGTTTTTTCCAAGTTTTTTCATTTTTATTTGTGTCATCTTTTTCACGAATCGCGATCCGTTAAAATATTAAAAAGGATATACAGTATGATGATGATAATACTACTAGAGTACTACTTTTTCACTTTTTATCTTTGTGGACAGCGGGCGGGAGGGAGGCTATTGGGTAATCAGTTGGGCCAGCTTCTTTTACATTTTGGGCCTCAAATACTGTCACGATATATGGAATTAAATCCAGAAAAACAGAGTCAAAATTCAGAGGAAATTAGAAAGAAGGGAGGAAAAATTAAGAAGGAAAATACAAAAGGTTTAAGACAAAGGATTAGGGTTAAGAGAAATTTCATTAAATTCATTCATAATCATTCCCAATCACGGCGGCTGTCGTGATATAGGAAATCCGTACAATCATTGACGATGATTACAAAGATGTATCGTCATCATTACAATTAATCATAAGAGGAATCTTCCTGAAAGTTTCTTTCGTCGTAATTAAGGAAAGGAAAAACAATAAATAGTAAATAACACATAAAATATCTAGAATAAATTAACTCTGCTCCAAAATGACTCAACTCATCTGCGTTCGATTCCAGCCCCAAATTGATTACTCGAAACTTTAAATTTGAAATTCCCGCCTATGCGTGACATTCCCTCCCCCTGAGCAGAAGCTTGACCTCAAGCTTTGAACGCCGGAACTGTTTGTTTGATAATGAAGGCATGATCCTCCCACGATGCTTCCTCCATTTCCAGCCCTTTCCACTTTACCAACCACTGAACAACAGGCTGCTGATTTTTCTTAATAATCCGACATTGCAGTATAGTTTCAGGTTCCAAGACATGTTCTTCATGTAGTTCAAAACTGGGAGGGGCAGTAAAACTAACTGGTTTGCTCCTATAATGTTTCTTTAACAAATAAACGTGAAATACTGGATGGATTCTTGAATGATCAGGCTTTTCAAGTCTGTATGCGACTCTCCCGACCTTCTCCAAAACTTTATAAGGTCCGTAATACGTGGATATAAGTTTCAAGCAACTTCTCAAAGCCACTGTATTCTATCGATATGGTTGCAATTTAAGGTATACCCAATCTCCAGATTTCTGTCTTTTCTTTTCTGATCGCGAAGAACTTCATCCGTTCTTGAGCTGTTCCTGCAATATTTTGGAAATGGTGGCTCTCTGTTGAATCATATCCTCAGCTGCTGGTATTATGGAATCACTGTATGGTCTTAGTGGTAGATAAATTGGCTTGCAACTGTACAAAGTTTCATGAGGAGTCATATTTATGCTGCTGTGGAAGGCAGTGTTGTACCACCATTCTACCAACGAAAGCCATTTGCACCAACTAGAGGGTTTAATTCCTGCAAACATCGAAGGTACGCTTCCAAACATTGATTTACTCACTTCATTTGGCCATCACTTTGGGGGTGATAGGTTGAGCTCATGCACAACTGTACCTGCAATAGTTTAAACATCTCTTTACAGAATATGCTAGTGAAGATCTTATCACGATCGCTCACTATTAACTCAGGTAGGCCAGGGAGTTTATAAATTTCTTTGAGGAACAGTTCAGCTATAGTTGAAGCTGGGAAAAGGTGAGCAAGGGAAAGAAAGCGACTGTATTTCATCAATGCTGAGACTTGGAAAGTTTCTTTATGAAATCCATAGAGATATGCCTACATGCTTGTTGCAGTATGGTTGAAGTAGTCCGGAATATGGCACGTTTTCTCCTTTTTTCCTTTGACAAGTTTCACAGCTTTGTACAAATTCATCAATCTACTGTTTCATAGCTGGCCAGAAGAAGGTGGTCTGTATCCTCTTGAAGGTTGCTGTTTGCCCGGAATGTCCTCCAAGTGAAGATGAATGCATGACCTCTATGACCTTCTTTCTGATCCCACTGGAACTCTCCACAAAAATCTTATCTCCCTTCTTGAGCAATCCCCCGATGAGCTGATTATCAGGACAGTCACTCAGTTTAATGGCGATTTTAGCAATAATTTCTTGCGCCACAGAATCTCCTTCATAGCTTGACTCTACTTCTAACATCCATTTGGGCAGAATTGTTAAAACAGCTTTGTTTTCTAGCATTACTTCTTCAGATGAGTGAAGGCGGGAAAGTGAATAAGCAGCTCTATTCTCGTACCCTTTCTTGTAACATATTTCGTAATCCAGCCCAAGTAATCTCGTCAGCCATTTATGCTGCATATTGGTTGTTAGCTTCTGCTCCATCAAGTGTTTTAATACCTGGTGATCCGTTCTCAGAATGAAGTGATGCCCAACTATATAGTGTTACCATTTAGTTACCGCCATAACCACCACTAGCAATTCTTTTTCATACACCGAAAGTCCTTTGTTTGTTGGCTAAACACCTTGCTTAAGTATGCAATCGGGTGACCATCCTGCATTAATACAGCCTCCATGCCATTTTCATAGGCGTCGATTTCAATCACAAAAGTTTTTGAGAAGTCAGGCATCATTAGTACGGGTGCATTTGTGATGGCAGTCTTCAACATTTCAAACGCCTTTTCAGCTTCTTCCCCCCATTTGAATCCATCTTTTTTAAGAAGTTGAGTAAGGCCCTTACTGATGATTCCATAGCCTTGAATGAATCGACGGTAGTATCCGGTGAGTCCCAAAAATCTACGCAGCTTCTTTACTGTCTCTGGAACAGGCCAGGCTTTGATACAAGCGACTTTCTCATCATCCATACTAACCCAATGAGCTGATATAATGTGACCTAAATAAGCCATGCTCTTTTTCGCAAACAAACATTTGGACATTTTAGCGTAAAGCTGGTTATTCTTCAATATCTCAGCACCTCTTTTAATTGTACCATATGATCTTCCCAAGTGGCATTGTATATAAGTATATCATCAATAAACACTAAAACACATTTTCTGATCAGACCTTGGAACATACGATTCATCAAAGATTGAAATGTATCCGAGGTGTTTGTGAGCCCGAAAGGCATGACCAAGAACTCGTAGTGACCGTGATGAGTTTGGAACGCCGTCTTGGCCACATCTTGATCCCTCATTCTAATCTGAAAATATCCCAAACGCAGATCACGCTTGGAATAAAAACGGGATCCACCTACTTTATCAAGCAACTCCACTATAACCGGGATTGGATATATATCTTTTATGGTTATCTCATTCAGCCTTCGATAATCAACACAAAACCTTCACTCTCCATTTTTCTTTTTAACCAGCAAAACAGGTGATGAATAGGGACTCGAACTGTATTGTATCACTTTATTCCTAAGCATCTCAGTCACCTTCTTCTCATTTCATCTTTAAGAGCAGGGGGGTAACGATAGGGTCTCGTTTTGAAAGGCTGAGATCCAACTTTGAGCTCAATGCAGTGCTCAATCTCCCTTTCCAGTGGTAAAGCCTGTGGTGTCATAAAAACTTCACTAGAATTCTGCAACAGTTGCCTCAGTTCGTCTGGCAGTGGTTGTTTATTCTCACACTCCATTTGGCATGCCTCTCCTTCAACTGCTATTACACAGCAAAGCAAACCTTTTTTCTTAGTTTCCAAGTACCCTCTCAGGTCTTCTCCTCTTCCCATGTTAAGTGTGGGATCTTCACCTTTACCACCAAACAAAGTATACTGTCGATCTCCTCTAGTAAACTGGATTCGGTTCTTCGAAAAATCAAATGCCACCAGACTAAATTCCGACATCCAATCCACTCCCAACATAATGTGTAATCATCCTAAGTTCATTACCCTAAAATCAAAGGTAAAACTGAACTGATGAACGTCACAAGCAACTGAAGGACAGATAAGGGAACCTCTTGTCTGAGATCCATCTGCCATAGTAATCACAAATGGATCACACTACTGGTAATGCAATGATAAGGTTATAACCAGGTTACAATCTACGAAACTGTCACTACTTCCCGTATCAACAAGTATGTTAATCCACCTTCCACATAGTTTCCCTCTCACTATAATGGTGATGTGCATATAATTTACCTATTTTTAATATCTCTTTATGCGAGATTTTGCCAATATTTTAAATACAAAATATGCTATTTATGTGATATTAGAGTTGAAGATTAAGAAAATTATTGAGGCAGAATCGGAAGGCTTGAAAATTTAGAGGACTAAATGGAAAGTTTGGACATTTTTCTTGGGTTTGGTCGAGAGTGGCTTAATTGATGGAGATTTGAGGAATGCACAAAAGAGAATCAGTTTTTTTTTTCCTTTAAAAAGATAGAGTTCAACATGGGCTAATTCATGCCATGCAAATCAACAAAAGAAGCCCAAGGTCTTTGCCGAAAATTGTTGTTCATTGTTGCTGAAGACGAAACCGAAGAGAATAATTAAAATCCAGCGTTGGCGGTGTTTTTCAAGCTAGGAATTCGGCCAGAGTTTAATTACAAGTTTTATTGGAAAATAATTTTTCTTGGTCTCCACGTAGTCGGGTTTATAAAAAGAAAGCTAGGGTTGTTATTCTAGTGACCGAACTTAAGCGAAAACCCGGCGGCAGCTTCTTTCCACCTCT